TTGGGTGTGAATATTTCATTAAATGAAATAAAATAAATCAACATTGAATTATGTCCATTTTTTAATTCACCATTTCATTCATTGGCAGATGAATGAAATGGCTGTTCATATTCTTCATTGTTTTGTTTTTATTCTTTTTTAGTTCATTTTCAATTATTCAAGATTGAATCATTTCATTTCAATTACTATGATTCGTTTTGGTGTGAAATCTTCTTTTCCACAAAGTGCATTTGATATTCCTTCATATTCAAATAAACTTTGAAAACAATATGATTTTGTTTTATCATTTTCTTTATAAACACAAATATCCCATCCATTTCCAAATAAAAACAAAAAATCATTTGATTGTTTAAATAAAATGCATATTGTGGTTGTTTAATATCAAATTTCATCATTCTTTTCATTCTTCCGTTTGATTCTAATGAAAATACAAATGATTTTGAATCATTTATATAACTTTCAACTTTATCAATTTTAGAATTAACATATCCTCCAAATTTATTTCCTTCTGAATCTTCAACAATAATTATTATATGTTCTTTATTTTTTATTCTTTGATCAAATACTGATGTATTTTTATTCCAATCATCAATAATTAAGCAGAAGAAGTTTGAAAAACCTTAATAGGAAGAAATAAAGCAAAGAAGTGCTTTCCTCAATTTGCAAGAAAAACATAAAGAATAGGTTTAACAAAGAGATTACTCTTTTTTAATAAGCTCAGGGATGGGATTAGTCTCCCCTGAGCTAGGAAGAATAGATGAAAATTCTATTAATACTTAATTAATTACTTTTTATTTTTTTCCATAATTGTTATTATATTTCAATTTGAATGATTATTTTTTATCTTCTGTTTATAAATGAATTTTATATTAATTCTTAACAAGAAATAAGAAAATCAATAGAATAGATTCACTGTTATATTTGTTCAAACATGACAATGTATTTAAAAGAAATAAAGGATGAACAAAAAGATGAGAAGTTATAATCAAGAAAATTTTCAAAAGATAAAAAAAGAACTTAAAAACAAAAAAGATGAGAAGTATTGTTATTGGAATTATTATTATTTGTATTAATGCAGTAGAAATAAACAAATGTATGTATGTAAGTTATAATAATGAACAACATTCAATTTCAATCAATAAAATATACCCACATTCTAAAGACTGTTATACACAAGGGTTAATTATTGAAAATAATAATTTATACGAGTCATGTGGGATGTATGGACAGTCTTCCATTAATAAATATTCATTTCCATCACTTCAATTACTTCATACAACACAATTAAATAATTCAGAATTTGGAGAAGGGATTACTATGGTAAATAATACTTTAATTATGTTAACATGGAAAGAACATAAATGTCATCTTATTAACCCATCAACATTAGACATTAAATCAACGTTATTTTACCCATTGCATGGATGGGGAATTACTAATGACTTAAATCAAACAATATATGTTTCAGATGGATCAAATAAAATAAGAGAAATAACAATTAAAAATAATGAAATTCAAATAGAAAAAGAATGGAGAGTTCAACGAGGAAATGGGTTTGTAAAAGAGTTAAATGAAATGCAGTTTATAGACAATAAGTTATATATTAATGTTTATTGGGAAGATAAAATTATTATTGTTGACCTTAAAACAAAATATGTTATTGGTGAAATTTGGTGTAATATTAATAGAAGTGGAAATGAAGAAGTTTTTAATGGAATTGCTCAAATAAATTCAAATACTTTATTAGTTACTGGAAAATATTGGAATAAAATGTTTGAATTAACAATTAATTAGTGATATTCTTTCAATTCTATTCTTATATTAGTTATTTTAATATTTTATTAAATTTTATAATAAAAAAAAACAATATTTTATTAAAAGTTTTAATTTTGTTATTTATACTTCTTTTAACAAAATAAAAAATAAAATATTGTTATTTCAAATTAAATATTTTAGATAATAAATACTATTGAAATGTTTTTTGTATTATAATAATCTACACTTTGAAAACTATTAATATCTCGAAAATGTTTAGTTTTTAACTCTTTCTTTATTATAAATTGTTGGAATCTAACTAACCATAATATTATAAGTATAATGGCTAATAGGATTCTCTTCTTCTTGCTTTATATTTTAAGTTAGAGTTTTAAAACTACAACTTTTGTCTAAAAGCTTCATTATATATGAATTTTTTAGTTCTTCTATTTTTATTTTGATTATTAGTTCTTTTGAAATTAAAAATTTATAGTTAATATAATATAATAATTAGTTCATTTTTTAAAATAGTATTTTATTAATGTATTATATTATTTAAATACTAAGAATATGAATAAATTGAATAAAACATCAAAGTGATATTAATTATTAGATAATAGTTATTATAAAACAAATAACATTATTTATTATAATTGTCTTTTTATCCTTTTTTTTGTTTTTCATATAAACTATTTAATTCGTTCAAATGAAATTATATTATAACATAAAATGAGTGAGTGAATATTAAACTATTCATTATTCTTCAACCTTATCAACAATTATTATTTTAGACTTTGAGTTATATAATTGTTAATAAATAAAAACCAATTTGATTTAAC